GAGCATCATATTTCACCCTAAACTCACCAGTGAACTAATCCACACTGATGAGTACGAAGGTAGCTCAATGTTCAGAGTGTGGCATGGATACAACTGGCTTTTTTCAGCCAAATTTACACTGAGAATCAGGAACAAAAAGCAGAACCAAATGACATGAAGCTTGGCCTGGACCGAGAGTGTAGTTGTTGAAAGTAGCAATAAAAAGGAAACTAAGTACTTTGCATAAAGACAATAAAAAAGATTGTTTGAAGATATGTCAGAAATTGACTAGACATTATCTTTTACAGTCTTAAAGACTTTGCTTTGAGAAGAGATATCCAAGATTTGTTTTATTGTGCTCAGCTATACAGGCGTTCAGAGGCATCTATAGCCATGATCTAGGGTAGAAGGGCAAGCTACTGGTCTAGCTTGTTCCAGACCCTGGCATCATCCACATCATGCTGGTTTTCAGTCATGCGGGATGAAAGGGTTATGAGTCATAAAGGCTTACATCCTGATTTCAGAAAAAACTTAGGAGGCCAGGCAAAAATAGGGGTCATAGTCCCTGCCAGGTGCCCATGAAAGGGCAGTTCCTGCAATTGCAAGATGGAAGCCAAAGGAGCAGTGGAGACCCCTGGAAGGTGGAACATGGAATGTGTACTAATAAAGGCTGTAGGCAGTGAATGGAACCAACCATGTTTATAGCACTGTGACAGACTTTTGGAGATGGATAAGGGGATCAGAAGTAGTGAAAGAGGGGAAATAGCAAATCTTCAAAACAAATATAAATGTTAGGTATTGTAAGCATATACCAATTTTAAAAATTATTGTTCACAAGTTTATTCATTCATTATATGTAATATTTTATCTTCCTCAAACATAAGTATCTCAAAAATGACTTACAATATAAGATAGCACCTTCAGATATCTTACACACAACATATAGTTAGAAATTATTACAATCGAAGAGGAGACTAAGGAGTCTAATACCTATAATCACATCTTTTATGTTTATTTTTAACACTTTAAAGTTATCTTGTTGATTGGTATATAATTTATAAATAACTGAAAAATATATTTTAGTGCAAGACAGGATTGAATAATGAAATGACAAAGAATAATATATTCTTTCAACATAGAAATTTCAATTACTTTTATCTATGTACGAAGAGAAATATTGAATAAAGTAATCAGTAACCACTTTCCGTTTTACTTTTTATTTCATGCATGTTAAGAATAAATCAGGAGCTGGGGGTTCTAGCTAAGTTATAAGGTTCTTGCCTTACAACATGTAGGAGGACCTGGGATTGCTCTTTCTCACTACACACACACACACACACACACAAAGATAAAACTATAAATATTCTTAAATTTTTTCTAGGTTACTAAAATGGCCATCTCATACCCCATTAGTAGAACTTTAGATTAATATAAACTTATTGAGAACAATTTAGAAACACCAATCAAAAATATATCTTTATAATTCCTATACTTTAACCAAATAATTCAAAATTGAATACAAAGTGAAAGAATGTATTCAAAGCAAAAAAATAGCAAGACAGAAAATTATTTACATAAAAGATACACCTTGCTGCTGCATTAATTGTCATACAAAGGTAAACATTTTTTAAACCTCAAAATTCTATTAGCTAAATAGTAAAATTTGTGTATGGCAGGCTTCTATAAAGTCATTAAATCAAAATTATGATTTGGAAAATACACATTGAATTATTAGAAGTACTCATAATGAACAAGGTGCTATTTTATTTCCAAGAAGAATTATTCTTCCTGGAAAGCCCTCATGAGTTAGTCCACAATTATAAAAATTCCCCTATCTGCAGTATAAAATAAATAGTCCAAACACTTCTTTAAAACTAGGATATTATACTTCACATTGCAGAGTTCTCATACCTGCTTTACTTTTTCATTTTCTGTGATTTCTGTTCTTTTGTTTCTGACAGCTTTTTGTAGTTCACTGGTTTTATTTTCAATTTTTCTTCTACATATCTTGCAGTTCTGTTAATTTATTACATTAAGTAAACTACACCCTGGATTTTCAGCAGCCTAACAGTTTCTGTATCAGGGAGAAACAAGACAGAAATAAAATGTATGACCACCTCTTACATATAAAGACATTTCATTTCCATTTGCACATTCAGTCATTCATACACTAAACAAATGTACACTGAGTGCCCACAATGTAAAACACATTCCCTTCCTGCAGATAAAAATATACTGTTCTTGTTTACCTTCAAGTCTAGTGGGGAAGACAAAAAAATGATCATTGCAAATTCACATATATGCTGTAAGCAAGCAAAATTCTGTGGTCACATTTGGGAATGTGATGTACAATCGGCTCTGGAAGATTTCCCAGGGGTGGAGATAGGGACACTGAGAAATGGAGGGAATACGGAGCAGTTAGGCAGAGCATGAAGATAAGCATGCTAATCATTCTACAGCAGGTGCTGGGCTTTGTGGCGATCTGCTTCTAGCCAAGGGGAGTCACGGGTACAGGTTTATCTTCCAGTCTGAAACAACCACAACTGACACAATAGCTCAAACAGCAATATCCCAGACAGCAGCCCTCATGTAATGAAGACTGTGATCCCTGACCAGCAGGAAACAGATGAGGCAAGCCTTCCTAATGTCCCAGCTCCCTGCTTCCCTTAGAGACTTCCTGGACACGACACAAGAGAAGGCCTTGAAGCTGAATCCCCCAGACTCTGAGCTGAGATGCTGAAGCTAAATCTGGTAAAACCAAGGCAGGTGGAGATTGCAGGACAGAATGCTAGATGGCATTAGGGACAAAGAGCCCTGGACATTTGCAGAGCTCACTCCTTGAATATTGAACAGAGTAAAGAACAACACAGATGTGCCAGAAAACGAACTCAAGACTGAAGGAAAAACTATCTGAAAGTATTAGAAGAAACTGCCTGGTGCTCACATAGTTCTGGGAAGAGTGTCCACTCCCATCAGTCGGGCTGACAAAGTCACAATGCACAGGACTATGGCTAGAGTCATCAGAAAGGCCATCTCCCAGTTTGGCAGATTAGAGCATGCCACAGCACCTGGGCGAGGGTGTGACCTGTCAATCCTGGAGACCTTTCATCATGTCCAGGACACATGCACATGTGCATGCGCAGAGCAGCGTCAGAGCCCCACATAGGCAGCCCAGATCTATCATCAGAATGGGGGTATAAAAGACTGCAGCCATTATCTCATGCCACTATCTTCTTTCTCTTGTACTGGTCCCCTCTGTGTGCAGGGTGTATTTTCCTTTTCCACACTCACTCTTCAGAGCACTTCCTATTAATGACAGCCCAGGCTGCAACTGTGCAGGTCCACTTATATGCATATTTTTTAAATATTTAAAATATAAAAAGAAAGGAAAGAAACTTCTCAGATGAACATAGAGATGATTAAAATTAGGAAGTATATGTAGGTAATTCTCTCATCATTTACAACAACAAAATATGCATAAATATATTACAGAGCAAAAATTTACCGACACTTATACACACAACCACAGCCTGTACATGGTACCATTTGAAGTCAAGAGAAATGTAAGCAGACATGAAGATCTTGTATTACTTGACTGCACTGTGATCATTTCATATTTACCTCCTGTTGCAAAGTCTCCGTGTTTCAAGTGCCTGCATCAGAGGCTATGATTCCATAGTCAATTCTAGGACAGCAGTTCCCTTCTCCAATAAATGGCCTATCACACTAAAAAGGCTCTCTCACAGTTCTCTTGTATTTCTCCCACATACAATACACTTAACATACAAAATATGCATTAACTTTATCAGGAAGCATTCCTTTCTATTAATAGAAGGTATTAATACTTAGGTTTTTACAGAGTCAAAATGTACAGATTCCCTACCACACAAGACATCGCCCCTCTTCCTAACCTGCAAATTGTTCACAGTATCAACTATCTATTTACCTGGCAGGAGAGACATCATGATCACAAAGGTATCAACTGTACATCTGTAATCATGTGAAATGAAACCATCTGAAACTTCTATTAAAAGGAAGACTGTCAGACTGAATAAAAAAGTAACCAGCTATGTAAGAAATACACCCCAGCTACAAATAGATCCTGCTTGTAAGAAACAGATTTTTAATGTAGACATAAATTTTGAAAAACATTTTTTAAATGTACCACACTAATGGCTTGACAAAAGAAAGCTGAACAGGAAAAGCTCTATTAACATTAAAGTAAATTTCCTATCAAAACTACTCCAGCAATAAAGTCATCTCATAATGATAAAAGTTTCACACAATTCTGATTACTTATGTACCCAAGAAGCAAAAATTCATAGAACTACAAAAGGAAACTGACAAATGCACAGGCGTTACTTGAGATTTCAATATCCCTTCATCGGTAAGTGCTAGGAAAAAAAGTAGAAATTCAGCAAGAACAGGTAGACTTGAACAACACCCTTTTAACTAAAATGGATATATTTTAAGAACATAAAATAAATTTTAGCAAAAGGAGTAAGTCAAAATGATTTAAGCCATGAAAAGTATTTTCCTGAGATTAAAGCAACCAAATTAGAAATAAGTAACAAAACTATCTCTGGAAAATATTCAAATATTTGGACACTAGGTACCACACAACTAAATAACCCTGGGTAAAAGAGGTAATGAAAACAATCCAGAAAGCATTTTTTTCCCCAACTGGCAAAGATAAAAATACATGCCTTTAGAGTTCGTAGAATGTAGCTCTAACAGTACTTGGATTAAAAAACAAACAAACAAACAAACAAACAAAAAAAGCAGTACTTGTGGTGCTAGTGATTGAACCCACAGCCTACTCACTGACCTAAACCCCAGCCCTGTTTTATTTTTCATTTTTGCATAAGGTCTCTTCAAGTCTCTAATTTGATCTGGTCGGACTCGAACCCGTATTCCTCACGCTAGAGGCGCAATGACGTCAGGACGTAGGAGGCCCCGCCCTGCTGACGTTGGCGCGCGACGACGTCAAGGGCTAGAGGCGCACGCTGGGTGGTCGTTGTGCCCGCCCCGGCGCGCCGAGGCTGGGCCTTTTCTGTCAGCACAAATGTGGGCGTGTGGAGGGCAGAGCCCCCCGCTTCCTTCTTCCCTCGAGTCCAGGCCCCTCGGAATCCCAGTTTCCAGCAGCGGCAGAGGTGCGGGGTCTGCAGTGGAGCCGCGGGTCCCGTTCTCCTGCCACCCGGGTGGCAGGGCTGCTCCTGAGGCCTGGTCAGTTCCCTTCCCAGAGTCCGGCCGGACCTCTCTGCTCTCCCAAGAGGAGGGGAAGCCGAGTTCGCCCTGAGTGGAGGAACCTCGGCGTATTGTGAGGGATGGGGCAGGGTGACGAAAACTGGCAAATTGATAAGTGTGGCAAATGTGTAAAGTATTCAAATACTTTTTCGTGATACAAGTGTTCATTTTTGTGTTTATGTGAACTCGAGGATATTACTGCAACTAGATATCTTGGTTTCCCTTGGATCATTTCGTCAGTAGGGCCATCCGTTTCCTAGAGCTGCTGTAACAGTGAGGCAAACTTCGTGACCTGACCCGGAAATTTATTATTTCCCAGTGCTGGAGGCTGGAAGTCCAAAATCAAGGGGCTGGCAGGAGTGATTCTGGTGGAGGCTCTACTTAGTCTATGCTTCTCTCCTAGGCTTCTAGTGGCATAGGCAGTCCTTGGTGACCTTTGCCTGGTTGTTACTCCAGTACCTGGATCATCACACAATTCATAATAGCTACAAACTTGTTATTTCACTTTAAAAAATCCTTCCTTTTGACTACAATTTATAATATGCTATTTACTTCCTTTTGTAGCCAGATTTCTCTGGAGTTCTCACGTTCCTTGTCACTATTTCCAGCTTTCTCTGACCGTTCTCTTTTTAAGTCAATTAGGCGGTCACTTCTATCACTTTATGGAAATTGTTGCTTTTTCAGGTCACATACGACTCATTTCCATGTTGCTAAATCTAGAGGTCAGTTCTTAGTCTTCATCTCACCTTTCTTAGCTCTTCACAGTTCATTGACCCATGTGTGCTGTGTTCTTCACTTTGTTTTCAATAGATCACCTTTTGGTTTTACCTTCTGGATCACTGGCTCGTCCTCTGACTTGATGCTTTCATGAAATTTCTTGAACAATATAGACTTCAGCATTTTTGATGCTTTTTACTTTTACAAACTTAATTTCTGCACCATTTTTCTTATAATATTACTTTCACTTAAAATATTACCCCACGATTAAAGTGAAAAATTTAATTGCTCACACCTCTGGACGTCAGGGGTCCAAAGTCAATATTGACAAAATTATTTCCCTTGAAGTCCCTAGGCAGACATGCATTACTTCTTCTGTACTTCTGGTGGATCAGCAAAACTGTACATTCCTTGGCTTCTGGGTACATCACTCCAATCTTTGCCTCACAGTCTATAGTGATACCAGTGATCAGATTTAGAATCCACTGTAATCCAGGATGATCTCCATTTGATTATTTCTGCAAGGAGTCTATTTTGAAATGTCACATTTACAGGTGCCAGGGATTAGGATTTGAACATAAATCTTTTGGGGAGACATAGTGTGATGTACAACAATAGGATTGACCTCAATGTGGTGAGAGCCATGCAGAAGGGAACCAACAGTCTATCTTAATTTTGCCACTCCATCCACAATTCTCATGCTCAAATATAAATTTAAAATCTTTAGGAGGAGCCAGGCATGGTGTCACATACCTGTAATCTCAGCACTTAGGAGTCTGAGGTAAGAGGATTGCTCTGAGTTCAAGGCCAGCTTGGGCTGCCGAATGAGTTCAAAGCCAACCTGAACTTGTCTCAAAAAAAAAAAAAAAAAAAAAAAAAAGTTTAGGAGGAGGCATTCTTCTGGGTCTTAATCAGCTTTGGAATGAAAGGAGGATAGAGAAATGAAAGACTAGGCCCTTCCCAGTCTGTTTCCTTATCCCAGCATAGCTTTGTGGAAAAGGATCATTATTAAGGGCATGTATGTATTAGCTTAATCAGAGGGAAAGATAACAGAATGTGAATGTTTTTCTGATTATGTCACTGTTGTCTCTGCCTTCTTTGTTCCCTACATCTCCATCCAAAATGTCTCTTCACATATCAACCTCATGGGTTTCTGACAATTGTTTTTAATTTTCTTACCATCTGTTGTTAGAAATGTTTCCCTCTCAATTTAATAATTTCTCTAGAGTCGCACTGAGTATTCAGCATCTTCACAGAACCTGATAACTCCATCACTTAAAATTTGAAATCATTTACTTTCTCCCTCTTGTACAGAATGCTATAAATCCTGTGATAAAAATGCCAATAGTTGAAGAATAAGTAGACTAGAAAAGAAGCAAGATTTATAGCCAAATTGATCTGTGTTGAAATTCCACCCTTAATAATTAACTTTATGACTTTTGTCTGACAACTAACTTCTCTGAGCTCAGTTTAATCGTGTAAAATGAGAATAATGATTTATATAAATGATATATTTTAGCTTTAAAATAATGGCCATTGTACTAATAGGATTATCATACTTGGGCTTATGTAACTTAGTGTAAGTTAAATTACTAATAACTGCATTCTGTCTTTCATTAATTATTACTCATAAGAAGCACAAATGTAATTGTAGCTCCAGAAGTTGTTTGATGAACTCTGATTGCTAAAGTATTAGAACAAGAAAAACATGTGAATTTAATTAGAATAACTTTATTTTTGTTACTGAATTAAATGTAAATGATACAATATTTTCTTTGAATTTATTAATGTTTTATTCACAGGGAAGAATTAAATTTTTCATCGAAAATTCAGAAGCTAAGTTAATAACATAATGAATCCAGCAAAGCAATTGCCAGGCACTAGTAACAAGTCGCCAAGTATTCAAGAATTTACTTATAAAAAAGGCCAGCTTAATTCACCATCATTACCCAAAGCAAAAGAAAAACACGGTGCAAAATTAGTACAAAATAAAATTGAGCCAATGGTCTTACAGTCTTCACCAACAGCAGAATCTGTTGTACGGTATGCTTTGCCTATTCCATCGAGTAAGACAAATGAATTAGTGGGAGAAGATGAAGTGAACAGGACTATCAAGCATCTGAAAATGGTAAGACACTTGGTGGCTCACATCTGTGGAGTCACCATGATGACTCCCAGGTTTGGTGATTTGCTAGCAGTATACACAGGACTGGGCATACAGTTCCATTGTTGTGAAGGTGGTAGTACAGTGGGCTCAGAGAGGGGAGTCTGGAGAAAACTACGGCAGCTTATGAGAGACTTGAACATTTGGAATCACGCAAGGCATTTAATTTGTCTAGCAGTTAATTGTGTCAATACAGGGAAAGTCATTACAGACTGAGTCCCCAGGGTTTTAATGGGGCTAGAATTTTAGGGGGTCTAATTTTACATTTAATATAATTGATTTTAAACTGAAAATATTTAATTTGCTTTGGATTTTTTCATAGGTTGTTTCCACTTTGGAAAAAGTCTATGGATTTGGCTTTGAAAATGAAGAACAAGTAGAGAAGCCTGAAGAGGAAGATTTATCTTTATCCGTAAGTATATATGACCCTAGTGGACAGAAATTAACACTGAAAAGGGCTAAGGTTTTCTTTTTAAATCCACGTAGTTTCAGAATGAATTCCCTATTCATAGAAATGGTCCTCTTAGGAAACTTGACAGCAGTGTACTGATTTTTCCATATTCTGCCAACCTTGATCTTAAGATTTAATTAGGGCATATGTGTCTTGAACCTATACTTAATAATAATGCTTCTCCTTTTAAATTTTAAACCTGGCTTAGTTGTTGGTTGAAGTTGTATATTCTGTATCATGTTAAGAAGTATTCTTGCTAAGTAAAAAGAAAGACCCAAGGAGGTTATTGAGTTTTAACAGATACCTTTGTCATGTGTGTGTTAAAGTAACACAACTACAGTATTAAGATTATGTGGTTCTCCAACTTGTTATTATTTTACATATGTTCTAACATTCGACCATATGGGGTTTTTTTTTTTATATCATTAATGAGGTTTTTTTTCAGCTTTAATTGAGTTTATTGGTACATTTTAGGGATACAGTACAGTTACATTCATTGTTGGGATCTTGTACCGCTACATGACAAGTCTTGAGTCTCATTTTTTCCCCTTACCTCTGCCCTCCCTTCCCCCCCTCCTCCCCTCCCCATCTACAAACACTTTATTTTCATCTTTTCATTCTCTCACATTTTTTTCTTTTCCCTTTTTACTCTTCCCCTACCCATCCCACCTTCCCTACACCTTTAGCTCCTTTCTTCGCATTTCTAAATGTCAGTAATCTTATTAGAATCTTATGCATTGTTGCAGATTCTTTACACCAGGGAAGCTATTTGGTATTTACACATGTGTGACTTATTTATTTCACTTAGGAGTATATCTTCAATATGTATCCATTTTCTTATGAATGAATCTATTTTCTCTTTCTTTATGGCTGAGTAATATTCCATTTTATAGAAAAACCACAACTTCTTTATCCAGTTTCCAACGGATGGGCAAATAGGCTGTTTCCAAGATTTAGCTATTACAAATTGTGCCACTATAAACATGGGTGCACATACTTCTCTGTGATATGATATACTTTACATGTAGAATAGAATTATTTTACTATATTTAGTTTTATTCATAATTGATTTGGGTTCTATGTCATGATACACCTGGGAGTGTAGGTTGAGTCAGTCAGTTAATTTGGCATAGTTCTCCATTTATTTAGGTCTTGGCTGATTTCTTTTACCAGTATTTTAGATTTTTCATCATTTCGATATTATACATGATTTATACATGGAGATTTAATGTTTTGTGAAGTGATTGGCAATGGTGTTATGTTTTAATTTAGTTCCTTTGTGTTATGAATGTATTGACATAACATTTTTTGTGTTGATCTTGTATCTTGCAACATTGTTCATTGTACTTTTTTATTCTAGGAGTTTTCTGTGGATTCTTTGGGATTTTCTATGTAGAAATGTCATCTTTGTGTTTTACTTCTGTTTGTCCAATGTGAATA